TAAAAACTTGGTAGCTAGCTAGCGAATGAGCTTGCCAGCTCTGTTAATGCATAACTGACCGAGCTACATAGCTAATTCAGGTCTGTTTGCTCATTTAACGCTAGTTAATTGCTGAAATAATCACAATTCCCTGTTTGTAATGATTAATATTCACCATGTGAGGCTAGCTGAGCAAGCGAACTGACTGTTAGCTGGCTAACTTAGCCAGCGAGCTAGTTCACTAACTTCGCTAGCTGACCAATGTCATTAGGTAGCAATATGTAAATGCCAGCTAGTGAAATGTTCCTGGCTTGATGCTAGCCACATAGCCAAGTAATGGCTATGCACCATTTTTATTACTTTTACTAGCGTGCTAGCTAGTGAATTTTAATGCTAGCTAGCTTGCTAAATAACAGTAAGTGACATTAAACTAACCATTGACTGTTTCTATCAATTTAGCTGTGCACAAGATGTAACAAACTCACTAGCTGGCTAGCTAGGTGGTTCACTAGCGTAGCTAAATCCTTGCTAGATAGCTAGCTAAATGGCGAAATACCTATTCATTGTGATCCATTCATTTCTTGGCATGTAGCTAGCTAATAGTGGCCCACTATGTAGTAACAGTAAGACCTTTGACAAACTGAAAATTGTATTGATGCAAACCCGCAAAAGCTAATTGTGCCTAATTAATGAATGCAAACGGGCGAAAGCAGTATCGTGTATTTTAACCCAATCTAGACCGGGGGGGGGGGCTTTTTATGCCCGAGCCAATTTTCACGTCATATACTTTCTGAACGGCTTCAGCTAGGACCACCAAACTTGATGACTTTTCCTAAAACTTGTCTGGGAACAATTTTATATCAATAAGTCAAGTCCACCATCTTCGCCGTTTCCATGGCAACGGTTTTCTAACAGGTATGTCTGACAAAAAAATCACCGATTTCAGTTTCATCAATGTATTTTCCAGATTTTCTTTTTAATATATACTTATTCCATTATATTTACAAAATCTTACGTAATTTAATGTCAGATTTGTTAAGTAGAATTAATTTATGCTAATTTGATGACGTCATTGAATTTATTTTATTTTCCTATGATGAAAGCTTCTACTACCAACAAATAGACATTTTTTTCCAATATTAAGGCGGTCTTTAGGCTCTATATTGAAATCAATATACTAAATACAAAGAAGCTGACGCTAAGAACAGAGCAAATTTTGCAAACCTGTCATCCTTTATAAGTTTACTTTCATTTCTTTCTGACCTGAACTTCCAAGAAAAACATTCTGAGTGAATGAAAAACTATTTTCACAGAACAGAAATAGAATTTTGTGTATTTTATGGCCTCTCGGAGCTGGTGCACTATGGGATAAAATAAGCAAAGCATTCTGGGTAATAAAAATCAGAACATGATGTAATAATGATATCATAATAGGTCATAATAATACCAAAATGATTGTCATGATTTAGTTTTACGTGTGCATCATCCCCTGCAAATTCGGTGGTCATACGCCATGTCGTTATGAGTTACCGGAAGGGGGTGTAAAAAGCCCCCCCCCAGCCCCAGGAAGCCCCAAAAAGCCCAGTCTAGATAGGGTTAAGTTAGTTTGAAATTTAGAGAACAAAATAGCCGCGCTTACGCGGGCGGGACCCCTCATCCCTGTGCATTGTTGAAGCATGTGTGCCTATCGTGTTAAAATCTCCACACCGGCAACAGTGAAGATTCATTTGCTGAAAGAGAGATTTAACAAAGAGGCAGTTGTACAGTTGAGGAATGGAGTTTGCTGAATTTTACCTCTTAAGGAGTAATCACATCAGTGAGTTCATATCCTGGTTAACGGAATGGAAATTCAAGATGGCGGCTATAGCAGCCATATTTGATTTCGGATTGCGACTGAATCGATAGGCTTGTGTAGTAATTCTACCTCAATGTCCTCACCAGAAACCATGATGATCGGTCATGGAGTTTTTCAGTTATCGCACGAAATGGAAATTCAAGATGGCGGCTGTGGCAGCCATATTTTGTTTCGGATTGCAATGGAAATAGATAGCCTTTTGTAGTAACTGTACCTCGATGTCCTCACCAAAAATCGTGATGATCGGTGATGGCGTTTTTCAGTTATCAAACAGAATCAAATGTGGACGGACAGACGGACGGACAGATGGAACGCCAGACGGACAGATGGAAGCTGTGCGTGATGACAATACCCACAGCCTCTTTCAGGGCTGAGGGGTAATAAAAAGGGAATGACAAAGATAATGCTATGATAAGGCCAATTTTCAAGCCAGCATCATGTCTGCATAATGACATTTTAATTACTATTTGGATAACACTGCAACTTTACTGAGAAAAGTCACACTGACATTGGATAGAAGAAAATACATTGCCACAGCTTAGAGACAAACAATGACTTTGCCTGGCACCCAACGTCGACCGAGTTGCACAAAAGCTGAGTTACTGTTTCACAAGTCAGCCAAGTCTAGTCAAGTTAGTCAACATGTTCATTTGCTAACATTAGCTTCATTTAGCCACTGAAGCACTATAGTAACATTTATGTTATCAATCAAATGCTGTTGGAATAAGCGCTGCTACTAATTACACAGAAGCAAGCTTCCCAACTTATTTTATTCCAAAACATTTGGAGAATATACTGTATAACTGTTGACTCACTTTTCTAGAAGAAAAGAGAAGGTGTGTACAGCCGATTTGAGCCCTCTTTTCAATTTCAGTGCACTCCACTTTTCAACCACCATGTTTTCTACAACCCCAATTTCGAAATAGTTGGGACAAAGTGTAAAATGTGAATCAAATCAAAACGCAGTGACTTTCAAATCACACCAGCCAGTATTTTATTCACAATAGAACAGAGATAACATAGCAAATGTTTAAACTGAGAAATTTTACAATCTTATCCACAAAATGAGCTCATTTCAAATTTGAAGGCTGCTACAAGTCTCAAAAAAGTTAGGACAGGGGCCTGTATACTATGGTGTAGCATCCCCTTTTCTTCTTAACACAGAGTGGAGGTGTCCGGGCATTGAGGAGACAAGTTTCTTGAGTTTAGCCATTGGAATTTGATCCCACTCTTGTTTAATGCAGGCTTCTAGCTGCTGGAGAGTTTTGGGTCTCCTTTGACGGACTTTTCGTTTAATTATGCACCAAATGTTCTCAATCGGTGAAAGATCAGGACTGCAGGCAGGCCAGTTCAGCACACGGACTCTTCTACTACAAAGCCATGCTGTTGTAATAGCTGCAGTATGTGGTTTTGCATTGTCCTGCTGAAATACACAAGGCCTTACCTGGAATAGATGTCATCTGGAGGGGAGCATATGTTGCTCTAAAACCTTTATATACCTTTCAGCATTCTTGATGCTTTTTAAAACATGCAAGTGTCCCACACCATATGCACTAATGCATCCCCATACCATCAGAGATGCTGGCTTTTGAACTGAACACTGATAACAGGAGGGGTGGTCTTTCTCCTCTTTAGCCCGGAGGACACAACGCCCATATTTCCAACAAGAATGTCAAATTTGGACTCGTCTGACCACGGGACACTTTGCCACTTTGCTACAGTCCATTTTAAATGAGCCTTGGCCCACAAAACACGGCGGCGCTTCTGGATCATGCTGAACAATGGCTTCCTTTTTGCATGATAGAGTTTTAGGTGGCATCTGTGGATGGCATGGCGGACTGTGTTTACAGACAGTGGTTTCTTGAAGTATTCCTGGGCCCATTTAGTAATGTCAATGACAGAATCATGCTGGTGAGTGATGCAGTGGCGTCTGAGGGCCCGAAGATCATGGGCATCCAGTAAAGGTCTTCGGCCTTGTCCCTTACGCACAGAGATTTTTCCAGTTTCTCTGAATCTTTTGATGATGTTATGCACTGTCGACGATGAGACCTTCAAAGCCTTTGCAATTTGACGTTGAGGAACATTGTTTTTATAGTATTCCACAATTTTTTTACGCAAGCCTTCACAGGTTGGAGAGCCTCTGGCCATCTTCACTTCTGAGAGACTCAGCCTCTCTAAGACATCCCTTTTATAGCCAATCAGGTTACATGCCTGATGCCAGTTAACTTGATTACTTGCTAAATGTTCTTTCAGCGGATTCTCTTATATATTAATTTCTTTTTGAGTCCTTTTTGCCTGTGTCCCAACTTTATTGAGACCTGTTGCAGCCAGAAAAATTGAAATAAGCTCATTTTGTGGATAAAAATATTAAATATCTCAGTTTCAACATTTGAAATGTTATCTGTGTTCTATTGTAAATAACATATTGGTTCGTGATCCGAAAATCATTGCATTTTGATTTTATTCACAATTTACACTTTGTCCCAACTATTTTGGAATTGTATGATGATCCTGTTTTTATTTTGGTCTGGTATGTTCAGTGACAAACATTCAGTCTTTTGAAGGAATGGCTGTCCTTCAAAGCTGGTGGGTGATCACCAGAGACTTGTGCCACTGAGGCCTTTATGCAGGCTGTAACAAGCTCTTTATACAGGGATGTAAAAAGACCTTTGTGCCGGGGTGTGACCTGACCAGGCCTTTATACAGGGATGTAACAAGGCCTTTATGCAGGGGTGTAACAGAGGGCAGATGGGTGACGCAGGAGGCTGATGAGGAGCTTATCTCAGGGTTGACACTGAAATTTAGAAAACTAGAACCAGGCAACAACAACAGGCTGGCTATAAGCTGTATGGTGGAAAGAGACCCACAAATAATTACATTTCAAGAGGTAATTTTGCTGAAAAAGTGCATGTGATATTGCTTAGTGTAGCTTTTAATACACTGTCTGAAATTCCTTTTGTTTCCTGTTACAAACAGACCCACTCTGCGTGGTTAACCCCTACCGGTTCTGTCTGTATGCCCTGCTCTCTCCCACAGCCTTTCTCTACTGGCCCATCTCTCTCCTCGCTGTGGCACGAACAATCTTCATGTTTAACTTTATTCGCTGGCCAATCAGGGCATAATCAGAGCGGGGAGACCCACTCAAGAGGGGGGAAAGGCAATAAATGGGGCAGCATGGCTCAGGAGGTATAGCGGCTAGGCTAGAAATCAAAAGGTTCCTGGTTCGATCCCCGGCTCCTCCAGAGAACGTGTTGAAGTGTCCTTGAGCAAGACACTGAACCCTGCACTGCGCCTGATGTGCAGACTGGCGCCTTGCAGGGCAGCCTCCACCATCAAGGTGAATGAGAGGCATAATTGTAAAGTGCTTTGTGTCATCTGACTGGAAAGACGCTATATAAATGCAGTCCATTTAAATGGCGTAGAAATTCTTTTTTTTTTTTCTCAAAATTTTATAAACCTTTTTTCTTAGGCATCCAAGAATATCATAACATGAAACAACATCATAACATGGGACCTTTCAAGGCAAAATACACAAATTCATAAAATTGTAGGCATACATGTTGACTGGTTATGTTTTACTCTCTCCCCCAGGTTAGTGCTCGCAGGGGAGCCTCACACAAAATCTTGTTTATGTTTTAAACATTTTCAAATGTTACTGTAATGACAATTGTCACCATTGAGTCTGCATGAAGAGGTCATTATTATTTTAAATCAACTCTGTGGAATGAGTTATGATGAAATTGTACTGAAATATGATCTCATTGATGAAAAGATCTCTCTAGGGTGACCTATACATATTGGACCTGTGATGATCTATAGAAGTATGCACGGTAAGAGACAATTGTTGAGTTACACACAGGCTTTCTACAAACAGCAAAGTATTACCTTTTCTAGGTGTAACAGCTAACTGCCTCGGTCCCATCCACTGTCTTAAGATGCCATGATGCAATTTTATAAGAAAGTGTACATTTGTGTGAGCTCCAACAATCATCATTCATTGTTTATGGCCCAGTGACCTTGGTTGCTTACATTTAATGGCTACAGTAGCCTTTCTCCTTAAAATATCGCAGTGGGCATATTTTGTTTCTTCTAAAGAGTATGTCTGAACCTTCGTAATTGTCAGCCACAAATACGTAACCCCTGTCCTGAACACAGAGAGTTCTGCTTCCAGGGGTGTTAGTGGACTCAAGGCTTCCTGTTCCTGAATCAGCCCGTTCTGCTGATTCTCCCATCTGGCTTCAGTTAGCTTCCATGGGAGTTGGGGGAGGGAGGGGGGGAGTATTGCTTTCGGTGTATTTCTTTAAACATCTTAACTTGAGCCCACAGAAGAGTAAACTCGGGCTGATTCAATTTTGCCTGGAAAATAAAATGAAATTCAGAGACTTAGAGATGAATGGCAGAGATTGAACAGGCAAGTATTTCTCCCTCTCCATTCTTTAGCTAGATATTAATTATGAGCTCAACATTTCTAATCACAACAGCTTGATAGCTTCTGAATGAAATCATTCAGAGTTCTTTAACCACCAATAACCAAAACCATTTAGTTCAACTCTGAACCGCTGTGTGTGGAGCAGAAAACTGGACAGGAACAATACAGGGTGTCAGTAAAAGATGTCAAACAGCATTAGATACACACCATATACAAACTGGCAGCAGTGCCCACAATGAGACTGAGGGAGGGTATTCATTGATTGGATTGACAGAATAATGTCTTTGTGGATGTGTTAGTGCGTGTGCATTTGACCTACAGTGTACCAATCAAAACTGGCTAAATTAACACACTTTCTTCATAAAATCAATTGTGTGTGTATTCGGTTAAAACACAACAGATATACAGTGCCGTGAAAAAGTATTTTCCCCCTTCCTGATTTCTTCTTTTTTTTTTGCATATTTGTCACTCTTAAATGTTTCAGATCATCAAACAAATTTTAATATTAGACAAAGACAACCCGAGTAAATGCAAAATGCAGTTTTTAAATGATGAGTTCATTTATTAAGGGAAAAAAGCTATCCAAACCTACCTGGCCCTATGTGAAAAAGTAGTTGTCCCCTAAATCCTAGTAACTGGTTGTGCCACCCTCTGCGACAACAACTGCAATCAAACATTTGCAATAACTGGCAATGAGTCTTTCACATCACTGTGGAAGAATTTTAGCTCACTCTTCTTTGCAGAATTATTTTATTTCAGCCACATTGGAGGGGTTTTGAGCATGAACGGCCTGTTTAAGGTCATGCCACTGCATCGCAATAGGATTTAAGCCCGGACTTTGACAAGGCTATTCCAAAATCTTCATTTTGTTTTTTTAAGCCATTCAGAGGTGGACTTGCTGGTGTGTTTCAGATCATTGTCCTGCTGCATAACCCAAGTGCGCTTCAGCTCGAGATCACAGTCTGAGGGTTGGACATTCTCCTTCAGGATTTTCTGGTAGAGAGCAGAATTCATAGTTCCATCAATTATGACAAGTTGTCCAGGTCCTGAAGCAGCAAAGCAGCCCCAAACCATCACACTACCACCACGTTTGACTTTTGGTATGATGTTCTTTTTATGAAATGCTGTGTTCATTTTACGCCTGATACAATGGGACGCACACTTTCCAAAAAGTTCAACTTATGTCTCGTCAGTCCACAGAATATTTTCCCAAAAGTCTTGGGCATCATCAAGATGTATTTTGACAAATGTGAGATGAGCCTTCGTGTTCTTTTTGGCCAGCAGTGGTTTTCGCCTTGGAACTCTCCCATGGATGCCATTTTTTGCCCAGTCTCGAATTTATTGTTGAATCATGAACACTGACTTTAACTGAGGCAAGTGAGGCCTGCAGTTCTTCAGATGTTGTTATGGGTTTTTTTGTGACCTCCTGGATGAGTAGTTGATGCGCTCTTGGAGTAATTTTGGTAGGCCGGCCACTCCTGGGAAGGTTCACCACTGTTCCAAGTTTTCTCCGTTTGTGGATAATGGCTTTCACCGTGATTCGCCGGAGTCCCAAAGCCTTAGAAATGGCTTTGCAACCCTTTCCAGGCTGATAGATGTCAATTTCTTTGCTCTCATCTGTTCATGAATTTCATTAGTTCGCGGCATGACATGTTGCTTTTTGAGATCTTTTAGCCTACTTCACTTTGTCAGACAGGTTCCATTGAAGCGATTTCTTGATTCAACAGGTCTGGCAGTAATCTGGCATGGGTGTGTCTAGTGAAACTGGACTCAAAAAAATGTGGTTAATCACAGTTAATTCATGATTTAACAAGGGGGGGGCAATTACTTTTTCACATAGGGCCAGGTATGCTTGAATAGTTTTTTCCCCTTAATAAATGAAATCATCATTTAAAAACTGCATTTTGCATTTACTCGGGTTAACTTTTTCTTATATTAAAATTTGTTTGATGATCTGAAAATTTAAGTGTGAAAAATATACAAAAAAGGAAGAAATCAGGAAGGGGGCAAATACTTTTTCACGGCACTGTATCCTCGCTCCACTTCACAAAACCTAATCACAATTTCCACAGTATTCTCAATATTGAACGTGTCTATGATATACAGCTCTTCAGGAATACACTGCACCACAAAATAAAAGTTGAAAAGGTTCAGCAGCACCCTTATATATTACTGCATATCGTTTTTAAGATTTTTTTTTTTTTTTTTTGCCACTGCCTTTATTTATACAGTTACAAATACAAACTGAACTGCAGATGACTAATTTTCAGATTGCATTTTCTATAAAAGATGCTATTATGAGTATAACTGCAACATCACAAATATGCTTATGGAAATTAACAAAGATAACAACCAAAATGTATTCCCCCCCAACTTCAGTATTATACTTTCAGCAAAAATTGGATTTAAAAAATTTCAACATTGATCTCAAGGGGAACTCAAAATACCTTATAGAGTACCTTATCTCTGAAGGTTAAAATGTCTGAATTGCGCTTTAAAAAATTTATCTTGCAGTACAATGTTTGACTGAGGTTTGCGGAGTGAGAGCAAGGTGAATGTTTGCGCCACCTTCTGTCTTTACAGAGCTGCAGCGCCATCTAGTGTTCATTAGTATTACTGTTTTGTGGCACCCAGGTCAAAAATAAAGCGGTGCGAAGACTTTACAAAATGATAGAAAGTATTGAAAAGATTCAGAGTTTTGGAATTTTGTGATTTGAAAGTTGACTTTTTAGGCTGCCGAAGTACACAAAATCATGTTATTTTAGACAATTCTGCCCTACAAAGCCTAAGTGCAGTAACTACATTTTGGGTAAAATGTGAGTTATGCAGTTTTGGGCCTGAAAGTACATGGAGGTTAGGATTTATTTGGATAGAAATTACACCATGGTAATCATTAATCAGTATCAAAGTCGGCACCATAGGAAAAGGTGATTACGGCAATGAAGGCGTATTAAGTTAGTTTATTAATAGGAATATCAAATGTTATGGTTCTCATGCTTTTTCAGAGTATCACTGCATGATTCAACCTCAACTGCGATCCAAAATTTGACCAAACCTTTCATTTTTTCCTTCATTTTTTCAAATTAATTGCACCAACCTCATTATGACTGGCCCGTTTTAAACAAATTAATCACGGTTTTATTATAAGCAATTTCATTATACTTATGAAAGCAGCAAACGAGAATTCAGGTGAATTACAACTTGACAAGAAGCTGGACTATGCCACAACACAAAGGTGCAAGAAAGGAACAGGTTTGTCTCTTGAAGAAGCAATCACTGTTTGAATGAATTTAAAATTATGATTATGATCCTTAAAAGTATTATTATTAAGCCGATGGTGAGTCCTTGGTAAAGGAAGCTGTCCCCTCTGAATCACGGTAGGTTCCGCTCAAAATCTCTTCTCATTTATCAATTACTCTTTCCACTATGACCCCGGCACATCCTTTGAGTGATCAGGCCCTGGAGCTCTTTAAAGTTACATTGTGAAAATGTCCCTTGTAAAAAGCTCTGTTAAATAAAGGCTAATTGGTTTTTGCATTTGTTTCTCATTCGGCGTCTTCAGTGAAGTACGCTTCAGCTGCATTGGGTCTGCTGATGTATTTGATGCTCTCCACCTCTCCGCCATAGTTGCAGGGCTTCTGAAAGTGGATCTCCAGATGATCCTGTAGATCCTCCGCATCCTCGACATCCCGAATCCCGTCAAGCAGGACGGTACGCTTGACAACCCCAGAACACATCTGGAACCAGATGCAACATGCTCAGTCTGTTTATTAAGTAAAGATCACGTAGAGGAGTGGATGAAGCCTAACTGTA